ACAAACACAGAGTTCGGTTTGTCCTTCCCATGACAACATATGCTCACCATGTATTTATTCCTTGCAGAGAGAAGGATATCAAACCATCTTGTATTTGCTCCAATTATGACTATCACTCGTACTTTTTAAATTGTAGTAATTAGAACCCCACTTTTAAATATGGAAGCAAGTGACCACTATCATAAAACATCATATTGTAAAAACTTATCTACTATCATGAAGTTATTTCACTCAAAATAAACCATGTTTTATATGTTGAAGATCAACATTATAGCTTGAATAGTTCAATTCGGCAATGATCTCAGCTCTTACATATAAATTTTGTGTCAAAATGGTATGATTGAAGTTATTCCCTATGTTAATACTTAATACTAATCAGAATAGTCTTCGTTTACTGAAAACTAACCACAAAAATATTTCAAATGAGAAAAATGATGATACTAAAAAGGATTATCGTAACAAAAGCAACAAAAAGTATAGCTATTTATCTTTAATCAACTAAAAAGTCAACCTAGAAGATCAACCAAATGAATTATGTTAAGACATCACACATTACTGTCAAAGAAACTAAATAACCCATCAGTCAGCTCTCCTAGCAAGAACACTCAACCTTTCCATATTTACCCCGCCAAAAATTGCTTTGTGTAACAATATAGGTGGAGTAGGTTAGGCGGTTATCGAGTCTGATGGGAAGGTTTGGAGAGACGGCTATGGTTGAGCGTTTAGTAGGCCGGGAGCCCGGGACACTATTTATCTTTAATAAACTCAAAAGTCAACCTAGAAGATCAACAAAATGAAATGATGTTAAGAGATCACACAATACTGTCAAAGAAACTAAATAACCCACCCGTCAGCTCTCCAAGTAAGAACACTCAACCTTTCCATATTTACCCCTACGAAAATTGCTTTGCGTAACAATATAGGTGGAGGAGGTTAGGCGGTTGTCGAGTCCGGTGGGAAGGTTTGGAGAGACGGTGATGGTTGAGCGTTTAGTAGGTCGGGACACCATTTAGACCCGTTTAAATTAATTGCGCCTTTTCAATCTGCATTCGACAAACCAACATCACTTAACCTTTCCATATTTACCCCTCACTTAAAGACACATGTGCCCCATATTCACTCAAAACTTCTATATTAAAAAATATTGTTACTTTATGATATTTATATTATTTAAGTCTATGTCAAGAATTCTGCATCGCTTCTACACATTCAATATTGCAATTCGATGTGCAATTTTGCACCAATGACATTAATTAGGCTTGCGATTTTAAAATTATTCTCCTTTTATAAGATAAATAGAAATAGAATTAATTGTTAAACTCGAATGAAAATAATCAAAGTATGAAAATAGAAGTATCAAATACCAAAAAAATATTTAGGGGAGAGTTAGTGGCTTAGCTAACTGTGATGGAAAGTTCCTATGATTTGTCATATTTAAGCTTCTTGTATATTTTTAATTTAAAAAATTTAAACAAATTTATTTAGTGTAACTGGTTATGTTTCTTGTTTTTTCTCAAAGAGATCACAATTCAAATTCCATCGCTTATGTATTTTTCATGTAAATCAGAAAATAATTAATGACTGTGAAAACGAATCTACCCTTTCCTACTTTTTCTATGGATGCAAGGATTTTGTAATTGGGGAGCAACTTTCTCATTTCACTATTATATTAGGTGTTGCGAAAGTAACTTGGGTGGTTAAGCGTTTAGTGGGTCAGACGCTATTTGGGTCCGTTTACATTAGTAGCACATTTTCCATCCGCGCTGGACAAACCAACAACACTCAATCTTTCCATATTTACCCCTCCAAAAATTGCTCTGGCGTAACAATAGAGGTAGAGGAGGTTAGTCGGTTGTTGAGTCTGATGGGAAGTTTGGAGAGACGGCGATGGTTGAGGGTTTAGTGGGTCCGGGCACTATTTGGGCATGTTTACATTAGTAGTGTCTTTTCCATCCGCGTTCGGCAAACCAACATCACTCAACCTTTCCACATTTACCCCTCTCTTAAAGACACATGTGCCCCATATTTGCTCAAAAGTTATGTGTTTAAAATTATCGTTACTTTATGGTAGTTATAACAATTAAGTCTATGTTAAGAATTCTACATCGCTTTTACACATTCAAGAGTGCAATTCGATATGCAATATTTGAATCAATGACTTTTCGGTTGCTAACCGTGATGGAAAAGTTCTATAATTTTTCAGATTTAAGCTTCTTGTATGTTTTTAATTGAAAAGATCACACAAATGTGTTCATTGTAACTGGCTATGTTTCTTCTCTTTGTTTGAAGAGACCACGGTTCAAATCTAATTACTGATGTATTTTTTCTGTAAATAAGAAAATAATAAATGATTGTGAAGACGAATCTACCCTTCCTACTTTCACTCTAGATGCAGGTAATTTGAAATGGAACTTCAAATTTTCTTATTTGATTTTTATTTATTGGGTAGATTCAGTAAAAAAAAGAAATATACATCTAAATATAGTTCGTGACTCTATTCCTTCTCTCAAATGTATACAGTCAAATCACCTTTGAAACTAAGCTTTAAGTTGGTGCAAAGTTTATTTATCTTTGTGTTGCTAGTATCATGAGAGTTAAATCATCATGATTGCTTTAATTGGAGTCCCAATGGCAGCTGTCAAGTGTTGTGCCATGGGGCACACCAATGGTTAGGTTGTTGGGATGCAAATATTGCAAAACGCCTTCTCCTCCCCTCATCCTCTCCCTCCGCCCACCACGTCGATGGCGACTCTCTTCCTCTGTTGTTCATCATCGTCCCTCTCTCCTCTCCCGTCTCCGCCTACTGCTTCTTTCGGCCGCCGGAGCTGTTCCACTGGCTGTATCGGAATCGGAGCTTCGTCGCCTTCCACATCCGCTTATTGTTCTGCTTCGTCCAGCTCCAAACCGAAGGTCGTCGTCACCAGAGAGCGTGGCAAGAACTGGAAGCTGATCGATGCTCTGGTAAAGCCGTTCCTCTCTCTCTCTCTTCTCATCACATTCTATTGCTTGTTCTTGAATAGATATGAACAGTTTTCCCCCCTCCTATTAAACAAATGACTTCTAGGTCTTTCAATCCTGTTGGTATTGTAAATTAGAAAATGCGAATTGCTGCTGCAATTGACAGACTCAGTTGGCAATGGATTTGAAGCGAATTGAGATTAATTTATTGAGTAGAGGCCTTTGTCACTGTTACTTGCTGTTTGCAGTAATATTAATTGCTTCTAGTTTTAGCAGTTGTTGCAAGAAATGGAAACTGAGGTTAGAAATGTTTTTCGTCTTGAATTAGGGGAAACAAGGGATCGGAGCCCTGGAGCTTCCTTTGATTCAGCATATGGAAGGGCCTGATTCGAACAGACTGTCCTCTCTGCTGAGAGGTAAACTTGCTTGTATGATTTAGTTAGTGATGCTGTTCCTGATGAATCCGTGGGATCGAACATTCACTGCCCTCCTTGGTTTACCTTGCTTTCTGCAGATGTAACCTTTGATTGGATCATCATAACGTCTCCTGAAGCGGGTTCAGTCTTTCTGGAGGCATGGAGGTGAGTATGTGAATATATGAATGATACAGCGAGCATGGATAAGTCAATTGCCCAGATCAGTGGCATCTGGTTATACAAGTTCTTGCTATTAGACTGATGAACTTATCTTGAATTTTGGTCCTTAGGAAAGCAGGAACCCCAAATGTTAAGATAGCTGTTGTGGGAGCTGGAACAGCAAGCATTTTTGAACGAGTGATCCAACCTTCAAACCGGTCACTTGACATTGCTTTCTCACCATCAAAAGGTCAGGGGTGGAAAGTAATTATGTCGAATACACAAACTCGTACATGCATTACATCCTCATAGTAAATCAAATAGTCAAGGGAATCTTTTATCAGCAGTGTTGAACATATGGTTCTATTATTTCCTGCTGTAATGGAACTAGTCCTGATTCATGGTAATGCTAGGGTCTGCAAAAATGCATCAATTCTACCTTTACCTTTCCCCTGGTCTCTTCAACTTCATCTACCAAATGCTTATTCACTTACGCTGATTCAACTCCCATTCAGCTTTGGCAAGGGATGAATGGAGCATTTTTTTTGTTGTTGTTGCTCTTTTGTCACTGGTCTGTAACATCAGTCAGAAAAACACTGGTCCGATGATTAAGCAAGCTTCTGATAGTTATCAAAATGTGTTTGAATTCTTGCTACTGAGTGATTATTTAGTTTTGTGAAGTACAAGACTAAGATTTCATTTCTCTAATACTTTTTATTGTCTCTTACCTTTCTTCAGCAACGGGTAAGGTTCTGGCAGCAGAGCTCCCTGATTGTGGGAACGGAAGGTGCACTGTCTTGTATCCAGCCTCTGTAAAAGCTAGCACTGAGATTCGTGAGTGTGATCATTCTCAAGACACCATATTCATAATGCATTATTCATAAAGCTTACTTACACAATACTTGGTGTCAACTGGAGAGACTAGATATATCTGGTCCCTCAGAATTAGTGGAAGTAAATAAAGCTGGCCAGTAGTCAAACCTTAACAAATTCTATCCATAAGATATAGCATGGAAGTTTAAGTTAATGATGCTTTACATGTGAGGTTAGATGAGATTTTGCCCTGAATGAACTTGGATTGTATCTATAACAGAAGACCTTTGCTCTCTTCCAAAATAGTCTGCCGTTTTTTATTCTCAACCATTGCATTTTGCTGATGACTTGATATTTCCTTCTGTATTCTCACATTAGCAGAGGAAATCATATGTTGGTCCTAGCTAAGCATTCTTTCTATCTCAGTTAACATCCTTCAGTTTGTTCTTCTCAAATTGTAGTTCATTTGCGAATCCGAAGATGAGTAACTGTTCACTTGTTTCAATCGTTCAGAGGAAGGCTTGTCTAATCGTGGATTTGAGGTTGTAAGATTGAATACATATACAACGGTGAGTCTTTTGATAGCACTGTAAAGACATTTCATGGTTCATTGCGACCCTTGTGTCTCTTTTTGGTGAAATTTCCCAACTTAGTGTTTGGTAAAATGACTCCAACTATGTACAATTGAACATTAGATTTCCTCCAACCTTTTGATGCTCTGATGGTGCAGGAAGTGTTACTGTCCATTTCCTTCCCCAGCTGACTAACAAAATTATCCCTCCTTATTCAACAATCTTGCAACTTCAGATTCCTGTAGATCGTGTGGATCCAACAGTTCTTAAGGAGGCACTCTCTGTTCCTGTAGTCGCAGTTGCTTCACCTTCTGCAATTCGGTAAGCACTCTAAATTTCTTGGGAACATAAACTCATCCATCATCTATTAACTGAGCTAGGTTACAAGGCTCTTCCATATGCTTCTTTCCCACCGAAGAAACATGCTCAGCTGATATATGCATTGATTGCAACAGTGCATGGCTCAAGCTCGTTTCTTCGGAATCAGGGCATTGGGACAACTCTGTAGCCTGTATCGGTGAGACTACAGCATCAGCTGCAAAAAGGTTGGGCTTCAAGAACGTCTACTACCCAACACAGCCTGGTCTGGAAGGGTAAAATTCTAATTTTCCCCCATTACTGCTTCCAGAGTTGGTATTCCAGTTCGGCAGCTTTCTACAGCTCCTTAATGTTGTTGAATTCAGGTGGGTAGTCAGTATTTCGGAAGCATTGAGAGTACACGAAAAGTCTCAGACGAAGCTGGAAGTGTAATAGCTATAGATTGGTCGGCCCAACCTTCAGATCCAAGAGCCAACAGACCACCAAATGATCGTGTCAGTGTCTGAAATCAAACTCTTCAGCACGGCTCAGGGGTGGGCATTCGGTCGGTTCGGTTCAAACCGAACCGAAATTATGCATACCGAGTCCCCGAATTCTAGCAAACCTCAAACTGAATTCGAACCGAATTATAATTCGGTTCGGTCGGTTCAAACCGAATTATAATTCGGTTCGGTTTTTCATACAAAACCGAAATAGTGAGGTTAGCTTGTATCTTCTCTTTTTTAAATTATTTTTCACCCATAATGTGAACAATAAATATGCATCATCAATGATAAAATCAACATTTCAACACATAAGTCATAAAACACTAACATGATTCAAATATTTAAGTCTCATAATAAGTAGAAACATAAAAATCCACCATTTAAAGCTTGCAATTATAATAATTCGGTTTTTTCGGTTCGGAATTCGGAAATTCGGTTCAGTCGAAAGGATCATGATTTCCGAAATATGCCTTTTTCTCTTCCGAATTCCGAACCGAATAACATTAATTCGGTTTCGGTTCGGTTTATATTCAGTTCGGTTCGGTTTTACCGAACCGTATGCCCACCCCTAGCACGGCTGACTGAATCCACAGCGACATCCCAAAACAGGAAGGGTGCTACTATGCATAGCTTCCAGAAATCAACTCCAAGGGATCAACAACACACAACATTTTGTTGAGCAACTGAGTTTCAGACAGAGCTCCCCACCGTTGCAGACTTTAGAAGGCATGATTACTTGCCAACGTAGCTCTTGCATTTGGGCGAGGAGGCATAGAAAGAGCTGAATCTCTCTCGGCCTATTCAAATTATGTTGGTTGTAATTATTTTTTTATAATCTTGATTTTCCTTGTAATTGGCTCAGAGAAATGAGAACTCTTATCAGATTTAGTTTTTCAAAAGGACAAACAGCTCTGAAATGACAAACAACAATAGTTTTCTGTTTGGGCATTACTACAAGTTTACAACTACTTCTTGCTCTGTTATACGAACCCCTCTTCTGATCTAATAAGGATTTCTCCTGTACTACATTACATAGCTAAAGCTATAGGATCTTGCCCCTTTGACGGGAAACTTGGAAGATTCACATCAAAACAAGAAGAGAAGGCTGAACAGGACTAAATCGGTTGTAGCAGTTTTGCGATTTTTTCATCTGCGTCCACTTGATGCTCAAGCTGCAATGACTGGCGAACTGGTTCAGGAGGATTAAGGCACAAAGCCTCAACTACAAAGCAGAGTTCAGGCGGGCTCACTCGACTAGCTCAACGTTCTCGTCGATCAATGGAGAGACATGTTTTCCAAATGGAGAATCCATTCACCATTCCTTCATTAGCTTCCCTTCTTCATAAGATGATCAACCGAACTATATGACCCATGTACTTGAAACACTTTGATGTCTCTTTCAAGCATCTGTTCTTCTCGTCTCTAGACCAATGCTGCATACATTCCACAACCAAACTAGCGTCAAACACTTTCCGAAATCACTCACTGTAGAAATGCAGATGACGAGTCAGGGAAAGCAAACCTCTCCAAGCATGTTGACCTTCTCCCTTAGACCCTTTAACAGTTCCTCTGCATCTCCCTCCCATTGCAGGAACTCCAGCACTTCGCCTTCTAAAAGCTTATCACACACCTATAACCCACATTCCCAACAGGGCTGCAATTGTTAAATTCAATGGCTCTCTAATTACAAATTCATCTCAACTTATTCGTCCTTCTCCTTCTACTTTAAGTTCAAAGTTCCATACTTTCTCTCAGCCTCGGAGTCCTAATTCGAAGCGGATTCATTGCATAGAGAAACTGACCTGGGTAGCTATGACTTGGCCGCCGGCAATGTGAGAGAAGTAAATGTTGTACAAATGGGAGAGGAACAATGGTGCACTCCCTTCAGCAATATGCTCCAGATATTGGGCATAAACAACCCCTTGATTGCTTGGCTTAGGGATTTCAATGCCGTGATGCTCAGCCAGCCATTGAAGGTCCTTCTCCAGCGCCTCTGATCTTTCCAACCCAGTTTTCCTGAAATGTGTATCTGCAGAAGAAAGAAAAGGTTTAACAGAGGGAAGCCGGCTCCAATGTACTGCAAGAAACTGAAGAAAATTGAAGCTCACATGAAACGTCGTCGGATTTATCAAGAATCCGCTCCACAGTGTTGAACACGAGCTTGCTGGCCACCAGATACTTGACGAACCCTTCCATACTCGGCATCCAAGTCTCCGATTCCGCTTCGTTTCCCTCTCCGGCTCCCTCTCCTTCTTCGGAACTCTGCGATTCGCCTCCGTCGGAGTCGGAATCGGAGGCGGTTTTGTTCTTGTGAGTGTACTTGCCCTTGATGTTGCGGAGTCGCATGGCGACGAACCTCATTTCTTCAGTAATCCCCTTGACCTCTCCCGGGTAGGGTTTCCGGTATCGCTTTCTCTTCCTCACCACCGGAGGTGCCACGGTCATCGCCGGAGAAGAAGAAGCATCAGCACCGGCGGCGGGTGATGAAGAACTGGGAATCGAGCAACACAAAATCGCCGGCGGCGTTCTTCTTCCTCCTCCCATTCCGGCATTTCTTCGGCTTCTTTGTACGGGAAGAGATAGGAAGTGATGAGTGGAGACGGCAGCGAGCTTCGATTGGGATGAGGAAAGGACCAGAGAATGGAATGGAAGTTGGAGTGAAGAAGCTGAATTGAGCGCTGTGAATGGGAAGGACAACATTATCGATTTTTGCAGAAATTGCTTGCAGTCTGGAGGAGGCTAGGAGCGGCAGTGGAAGTGTGCTTGGCGGGGGAGAGTGAAGAAGGGTCAGGCTTTTGGGCCCGTACAAGCAGGCCCAGTTATTTTTTAGTTTTAGGCTTTGTATTTTTAGTGGGCCTGAATCGGCACTGCACTTCCTTGGATGGATCATTGATCCATCCAAGGCCTATATTTTTCTTCCTCCTCTCTGATTGTTTCAGCTAAGGCAGGACAAGAATAGATGTTCGACTGTAAATAACCTAAATTTCGGGCCAATAATTTTTTTTCTCAAAGTTCTGACAAAACTGTGGTATTTCAAAATTTAGATCAAAATTTATCTATTACATCAAAGCTCAGTCCAAAACAAGGGATTATACCTCAAATTTGAGAGTTGGGTGCATCATCTATAGATTTTCCAAAATTTTAGTGAACCCATTTTAGTGGTTGACCCCAGAGGGAGAGGATCACATCAAGTAAGAAAAAAAGAACAGAGTGCTGATGTTGAATTTTGGCGGATCGCAAATAACACAATAGAGGGTAGGGCCTTCTCTGAAAAATTGGTTCCAGATTTAGGCATCACTACCAGAATTTCAGTACCCTTCCTTGCTTTACAAAAGAAAAGTCTGCATATCACATCAGTTTTAACTAGGAAACAGATTTCGACCTCTACCCTCAACCAGCTCATCCAGACCTGACATGTATTATCACCCAGCATGTTTCCAAGAAGGCATATGCCAGTCTATACTAAGTAGAAAATAGAACGAAACGATACATTTGGGTGGCAATCTCGAATCCGAATGTTAGTGTGTTGATAAAAAAAAAAATATATTGGTGAGTAGTTATACACTTGAAATGCGCAATTCGTGATCTCAACGGTTGAGGTTGTTGGATTGTGCGATCACACAACATAAGTTCACAGTGACACCTATCTCGTTTTAGCGAGATTGAGCAAATTTGAAGACGTGCTTTGGTGGATCATCAAGCTTCCAACTTAATTGCAAATGTCTGAAGATAAAAAAAAAAAAAGGAAAGTCCTCGGAACTAGGGATGGCAATGGGGCTGGGGGCGGGTTTTCATAAATCATCTCCATCCCCCATTTTCAAATACTCAAATCTATATCCGTTTCATACTCATGCAGGAGGGATTTTGCATCCCCATCCTCATACCCGCAATTTTCGGATACCAATGGATAATACTCGTCCCATACATCCAATATAACTATGTCTGAATTACCCGAATTGGCTGGATCATAAGTGATAAGTATCCATGATTGAGGGTTGGATTGCTATATCTACCCACTCCTCTTAAAGGGCAGAGGAAGATCCCTGCCTTTTGTAGTGGGAGACGGTAGGGCTGGCCAAAGAGGGTTGGGTTGGGTTGGGTCTGGATGCATATGGTGTTTCCTGCTGGAAGAAACTGGTCTGAAAGAAATTAAGGAAGTGCATGTTTAGTTCAGTGGGACACATTTCAGATCATATATATGCTTCTCTGTTTATATGTGTGCAATCGGCGGCCCCTCCTCTCCTCTTTTCTTGACGCTGCTCGCATCTAAGTACTGATCAATCGCAATCCTGACACCCCGGCCGGCCAGCCAGCCGTGTAATTAAAGGCTTCCTTTCATATGCATGCCCAGTTGGAGTACCTCCTCTATTGTGTTAAGTCTAGCTAGCAACGTTTGGTGACCAAAACTACTCAGCTATCCATATATTGCGGATTTTTCTTCAAAATACTAAACTTGCTATTAAACATCCCCACAATGTCACATTTACGCTAAAACTTTTCAAAAATACTAGAGTTTGGCGCGGTTGTGTTCAGCAATCTAGGTACTGCTTTGCTGGACTCATTAGCGATCAGGGTGATGATTGCTCTGGTTGGCTGCGATTCGGACTGGTCCAGAGTTTGATTGCTTCGGTTGGCCGCTATTCTATGGTGGTTTGCTTCGGTCTCCAAAGAACCACTATCTACATTGTTAGACATTCCAGCGAACCGCGCCAAACTCTTGTATTTTGGGAATTTCCAGTTACATTTAACTATTTGAGGATTTGTTTACAGAAATGCTTGAATTTTGGGGGAAAATCCCTATATTACTCGTCTTTTCACACCAAAGTCTACAAGAATATACTTGTATGTTATTTCTTGACTTAATGTAATCATTATTTTTATCTTCCATCTATATTTATCGATGAAACCTTGGTGTGGCATCAACGATAAGATTCATCACAATACTCCTTTTTGAGTTGGTTGGTTGAAATCACATGGATTTCTCAATTGGATTGGGAAATTAACAATGTATAAAAGTAAAAAAACGCATAAATTTACATGGTTCATTAACATGATCTGTGTTAGCTAATTCATCAGCAGGAGAGATCAGTTTCACTATATTCGAGGAGATACACATTATAAAGATTGAGAAGGTGTACATATAGCATCTTCTCTAGATGGTCTAACCCTAATCCAACCTGAAAATAAATAAAAATTACAAACCATACCCAAAACAATAAACAAATGTGTAGAAGTCCATACACCATGAGTCAGTGCGTTGCCCCCGAACTCTCAAACTGGACGCTTCACTCCTAGACCCCAACTCGTTGACCAATCAACAAGAGCCCGTGACTTCGAGTTAACTACAAATAATCCGTCAACAAGTTTTAGCAACACCTAAACTATCCCCTCCTCTCCATTGTATCATCTAACTTTTGCACCCATGTCGTCGTTTATGATGGTGGAAATGTTGATTCGTGATAAGTACAGTTAACCTACCGAGATTTCCCATGTTAGTGATTCACCATGAAAGTCCTCCTAAAGTGTGGCTGAGAGGTGGCCTGTTCGTTTGGTGTGTCATGGGTTCGTGTAAGAAGCCAAAGCATGGCTCGATCATCAAGTAGTAGTCCTAATCATTTGAGGAACATATTATATATGGTAAGTGGGATTTATATTAGCGCCTAACTAACTGGGGATTTTATACAAGCGATCGAGCGGCTCTCCGGGATCCTAGAAGGCTGGAACTGTCTGTGGTTTCAACGAGCACATGAGATGTATTATTGTTGTCCTGTGGTTATTGGTGGTGTATGAAAGTGAAATTAGAGCATGAAGATAGGGCAAAAGGTCATATCTTAAAGTGTTGTTTGTTTGGTACTCTTTGGTCTGGTTGGGACGCCATCAGTCATGTCCCTGTTCTGCTCTGTTTATCGAAAGTAGTGGGTTTCGTACCACAAAGTGAAACAGGGTGAAAACGGAGTGTCCTGAATTCACCCCAAAAAAAGTGGGAAAAGAAACAGTAATGGCGATATCTTGAGTAGTAATTATGGGGTTGGAATATTGAGATTACTAAACGTGTCATGTTTAGTCATTAGGAAGAAAAAATAATATCAATTTTGGTAACTCGGAATGCTGAAACTGGCCACATTTAGTCACTCTTTGTTATTCTCCGTCCGACTCCGTTAACAAAGTCCCTTATATGCTGACATGGATAACGATAGCACCTATCCAGCAGCGTTTTGGTCCGAAAATGATGAAACCCGACCCGTCACGTCACTAAACCCGCCATGCCATATGCCTAACCAAACTCGAGCCCACGAACCAAACCCGAGCCCACTTAACCAAACAAAAATGCAAATGGATAAGGTTAGAGGCCAGTTTCAGACCCGATACCTTTCTGGCTTTCTCCATCCTTGCGAACCTTTGTACCTTCCTCTACCATTTTCGATCGAACTCATCAGAGAGCAGAGAAAGATGAAGCCAACCACCAAACCTTAGTTATCAAACTCTCCCGCCCGCCGTCCATGGCTTCTCTCTCCGATACCTCTTCTTCCTTTCCATCTCCCTCCATCTCTCCCTTCTAATTTCTTCCTCCAAACCCTTACAAAACCCAATCGTTCTTCCCGTCTCCAAAGATTCCTCCATAAAAACTCAATCTAGAACGAGTAAACATGATATAAAATGGAACATAACATCAAAACGCATCACGGTTGTTTGTATTGTATTTGTTGGTTACTACTGTTTCAATGAATGAGTTACTCGGATGTTATACCCATGGTTCTCAGATAAATACCCCCTCCCACGAGCTGTTGGAAAAATACTTGCTCCAATTTCGGTAAAATCTCTCCCCCATTTCTGTCGAATTTAAGCAATAATCCCCTTCTTAGCCTACTTCCAGCAACTACGGTTACAGAAACTCCAATTTTTCGGTATGATATAATTTTGTATTGTTTAGATTTTGATGTTTTAGTAGTTATATGTTTGTATGTAATGAATACTGTTCGTGACAAATATGTTTTGTTAGAGATATTTAGATTAATTCCAGTATGATTGATGTTAGTTATGAATTTAGATGAATTTGTTTACCATACTCATATTATTGTAATGCTAGTTATGGCTAATGTTTCGATTAGTTAGTTGTGTGTTTATGAGTTTGAATAATATTATTTTCGTACCCGTAAAATATGATTTTGGTTAATTTTATTCGACTTAAGCTAATAGTTATTTATTATAAATTGCATATATGGGTAAATTCAAGAAGTTTCATCGTATTATTCGGTGGAATGGTCGGGTGACAAACTCTGACATTGGAATTGATTATGAAGACGGTGAATCCACTATGTTGAAAATTGAGTCAAGATTCACGTGGCAAGAACTTCGTGACATTTGTGAGACAAGATTTGTCTGGGCGGACATACGAGAGTTGGTAAAATTACTTACCGGTATAAAGACACAAGTGCTGACGGGGTTATGTACCAAGAAGTTGTCATAAACAATGATTACGCGGTTACCATGATGTTACAGTTCCTAGGAGATAACGGAATGCGGCTTGCAGAGGTGTATGTTAAGAGTGAGGTAGTCGGTGAAACTCATTCTCACTAGTATTATTATGATGATGGTTTTACAGGAGGGTAAGGATGGGGGTGGTAGTTCAAGCAACTACGAAGGAGGTGGTTATACAGGAGGGTACGGATTGGGTGGTAGTTCAAGCAACTATGGAGGAGGTAGTGGTGCAGGAGGGGTGCCATGGAAAGAATACTCGCAATGTGCTGAACCTGCCCCAATTGTTGAGGACGATGGCGTTCAATGGC